CCTATACACAAAAGCTACACAAATTGGACACTAACAGAAATGTACAAGGTTAAAGGCTAAAAACATCGGTCAACAGAAAACGACTCTAATCGAAAACGAGAATCCCATAAAGGAGAAAGGCAAAAAAAATGCCCAAATGCCCTAAAAAGATGCAAACTTGTGACAGAAAACACAACGAAAGACTACTCCACACACCAGAATCTTACACTTTCTTGAGATTTATGACGAAAGTCTCCAACTTTTTACAACCTTAAAACTTCTGATGTTTTTCCATGTACACAGAATTACATGAACCAGAAGCTTAAACAGAGAACCGATAGATACAATCCATACCATAAATAGCCAAATTCCAACTTTCTCAACAAGGCCCCACAGCCGAAACAGAGCATCATCGCGTCATTATCGGAATGAAACGAAATGGGTCTTCAAAATCTGCGCTGTAAATACATTAAACACAACGAAAACGAGCGATGTACGAGCAAAACTGGGTGCCCCCCAGAGTGTAAGCTTGAGGGAGAAAAAACGTATATATTTGATTGTAAAACACCTTATTACCATCAAGAAAGGCGTTACATTGGTCATTTATTAGTGTCTAAAAGGAAAAAATGAAAACAATTTGGACCAATTAACTGATTAAGGATTAAATAGAAGCAGCGGGAGTCGAATTGTTATAGCTTTTTGAGTAATTTGTGTCTGTAAGTTACCGCCAAAAAGAAAGGGGGAAAAATGTGTTAATGGTGGACGTAAAGAAAAGTGATTTAAATTTAGTTTTGAGTGTGTTTTGAGGTCCCCTTGCCCTGTGGAACTGTGTAGGAATAAAAAAAAAAAAATGTGCTTGTCATATATTAATGAGAAATGCAACGATCTCGTTAAGGAACCATTCTATCGAGGTTTGTAACCGTTGGATCAACTATCTCCGACAGTTATATGATGATTTAACGGTTACAAACTCGACGGAATGATTTCATAACGGGACTGTAGCTATTTTGGTTTTGTTGAGAGCTGTAACCAATACAAAACTTCGGTTGTACTCCCTCCTATTTTTCTAAATGTCATTCTAGTTTTTTTCAATTATTTGCTAAATAAATGTCGTTTTGGATATTTTGTATATATTTTTTCATTATTACCTTCATTTAGCCAATAAATACATTACATCTTTTTAAATTCACTCTTCATTTTTTCTCAAAACATTCATCTCTATTTTCATTAAATAAGATTATTATTATTTAAAAAAATATTCTTAATTAGTGTACAACTTCTCAACATATTAAAAATAGAAGTATTAAGAAGTAATTTATTTCCCCATTAAGCATAGTCCTGAAAGCCCCAACTCATTGGTCCGGCCCAATTCCTTGATTGGCGAGATTATCGCATTTAATTAAATTTTCGAATCTAACTCTAATACCAATGTCGAAATTTACAAAACCTAACATTTAAAATTTTGGTTGTCGTACCGAATAATAATCAATAAAAATATGATATTTCACGTTAAAATTAAGCAATATTTTTCGAAAAAAATATAACGGGTCGATCTGGACCGTTAAATTATATGACCCCATACCTTCAACCTGATCACTTATTGCAGATGGGCCAAATTCATGAAAAACAACACACTAACACATCATAATTTGGCCACTGACTCTCAATTAAGAAGGCATGAAAATGTAAAAGAAGCTGCACACTTGCATGTACTAGGAACCATATACACTCACTTTTTCATTATTTATCTTGACTAGTACAATACCCGTGTATTACACGGGTGCTTGTTAAAAATTATTCTTAAATTTTAAAATTAATGAGAAAATTATATTAAATTTAGATTACTTTTTTACAAAAAAAAAATATATTACTATATATTTTAGAATGATATGTGTTACTTATGACATATATGTGTTATATTTTATTAATTTTTATAACTTATATCATATAACTACTTGAAATATAAATATATTAGGTGATAAATAATTTTATTTTTCTAATTAATATTAAAAATAATTTTATTATTGTTATAAAGATAAATATAAATTATTTTTTTTATACATACAATATGGATGTTAAATCGAAGCTTATCAAAAGAAGATTAATTTGATATATTACATATGTAAAACTGATAAAAATTACAAAAGTTATTAACTTTTAAAATATATATACAATTCAATAGTTATAATAAGGAATGATATTAAAATACAATTAATACATGTAACATGACCATAAATAATCAACATATTTATGGTAATCCGAACCTAATTATTTTTGGTTTGGAATTAAATTAAAATTTACCCAAGCCTAATAACGAAGCATGTAATTTTGCCACATAGGATTCCGAAGCACCAGAAGCAGCAACGTAGGCTCAGCGCATTCTGTATTAATATATAGGGGGGATTTGTCTCAAATGCTATTATTCCCTTTGAATATTTTTTTTTTTTGCCGAGCCAATAGAGGTATTATATAAATGCACACAAATGTGCAAAGGAGCAGCCACCAGCTGAATACAAACAGTCAATAGCTGAATAAAAATGGAAGGACAGTCAACTGACCGCCTAGAGCCAACCTCAACAGGGTAAACCTCGAGAACACAACAAAAACGAGGACACTAAAATACTAAAAGACATAATTGAATGCACAAAACATAATTTTCAGGACAAAAAAGAAATAAATTGAACACACAAAGAGGTGCAGTAGGTGAAGGTGTAATGAGGAGAAATTGAAAGGAGTGGGGTGAGGCTGGCAATGAACAATCACATGCTGATAATTGGGGAAAAATGTCCCACCTTAGAAGCAAATGGTACAAAGACAGTCGGATTATTTTGAGAAAGAGTACTTGCTATTGTCATGCATGAAAAAGAAACATTCACTTATGAAAATATTGGAATTTTCACAAATTTAGGTGCCCAATTATTGCCACCACTTGAAATATCTCAACTGTACTAATGGAAAAAATGATGAAAATACAAACAGTTACATGCAATTCAAGTTCAAATACAAGTATACAACATAACAATTTTGCATGCACTAAGGAAGCTTTTTCTCAAGAGTTGTCCTCAAACTCTTGGGCAACTCTTAATAATGTCATGGCTTTGTTCACAAATATTGCCATCGTATAGGGTTCGTACGCAAACAATTACGACCATAGGGGTTCATGCGCAAACAACTAAGCCAATAATCAGATAAACTTGGGAGATCGAAAAAATACAGGCCACCAAGAAAAGGTGAGAGGAAATTGATGCAACTCTTTTCGCCATTGTCTCCACAATATTCTATGTAGTGGTATAGCTAATTTCGAACAGACACTGCGGTACTTCCTTAGAAATAAGGGCAAAATTTGTACAGCCCCGCGATAATAAATCCAGGGCGCAAGTACACATCACAATAAGTTCTTGCCCAAACTGTTCAACCAGTAAAATTTGGTATTCAAAAATAGGAAGATATATAAAATCTCACTTCTACTTCTTCCCACCGCCCGAAACGTTAAATTTGAAGAAAATAATATCCCCGTCTTGCACAATGTACGTCTTCCCTTCCTGCCGGTATTTCCCAGAAGCCTGTGAAAGAAAAAGAATGCAAATAAAAGATAGATACAGCATATTCAGTGGTAATTTACAAAAGCCCGAATGATGAAATTTCCTCGTCCACAAAAAATTCAGCTCTTATTAAGTACTTCAGTAAGTAAAGATTAGTAGCTCAGTATACCAGTCTTCAAAAATAGATAAATAAATGTTTGAACTTTGCTTCCACTTAAAATGTTGCTTCGAATCTAAATGTTCTCTTCCCTCTACATATCGC